TAAATATAAATCAAAGAGCAAAGCACCAATTCCTGACTATCCCAAGGTAAACTGCGTCACAAAATATCAAAAAGTTGAAGGCATCTATTTACGGAAGTTCCTATACAGATCTACAACGTAAAACATTTCTTAATTAAAACTTAATCTAATTCCATAAAAAAACTGAGAACAAAATTCATACAAAAATTTGAGACGCAGCTTATTCCAGAAATAGTCTGAACTTTCATCTGAGGTTATACATAATGTTATAGTTCAGATTCCTAGCAAAAGGAAGACCTTAAGCTGCCATGAAATTCATTTCCCTATTTTGACATTTAAGTAATATTAAATATGAATGTAAGTGGATTTTTTTTTTTTTAAATAGAAGGTTCACCACTATTATTATCTTTTTCATATTCCATATCTAGCTTCCTTTCGTCTTATCATTGATTTAAATTAATTACATTAGGTTATCATCCGCATACCAAAACTACAAATGACCTAGGTTTCCTATCTAAATTGAATTTTTTTTTTTTAAATTTAATTTTCCTTTTAGAGGAGGGTATGGACAGAGTAAGGGTGGCTTCACTTGAAAAACTGAATAATCACATTTGTCCTTGACGGTCAAGAAAACCTCTTTCTAGTGTGACAAGAAGATTAACTTAATTGACTTGTTCACAAAGGTGAATATAATATTTTGACTATGTCAACTTTCCAGGTCATCTAATGTTCTCTTGGAAAATACAGGTTATCTACTCGAAATACCGGAAAAAAGAAAGAGCAATATCAGGTATAAATAAATGAATAGCAGTCCAGTTCAACTGAAACCAAAAAGTTTCCATCCTTTCAAAACAGTAAAATTAGAGTAACCATACAAGAGCGCCCTATGATTGAATAAATAAAAGCTTAATAGACTAACTAACAAATAGACAAAGCCTACAAAGACAACATTTGCAAGCAGACACTATTTTATATTTTATATTAAATCACTAAGCAGATATTGAAACAATGCATAACAATATAACCACCCTAATCAAATAAAAAATGGAAAAAATATTATAGACACAAAAGCAAAATGTAGTAGTATATTGCATGCACAGGTCAATGCACACAATATCTCATCCCAGACAAATCTTTTGCTAACGCTATGAACCTCCCAGCAATGCACCGATATGGTTACCTCAGAGATGGAGCAAGTAAATCTTATCTCAAAGGAAATGGAAGAATTTGGGACTTCGTCATTCCCACCCATGTGACAATTCCAACTGCAAGGATTATCCATCCAAATATGTCATACTTGAGATCACTATTTTTCTTCTTGGAATTCTGAAATAAAACAAACATTTTAGAAGGAAGCTCCTAAGAACGCAAAGTTAAATTAAAAGCAGAACCATTTATGAGCTCTTCCACACATTATCCCCATTGGCATTTATAGGATAGAGCAATGAAGCATAAATCAATAACCATTATATGCCCTTCTGGCCAGCTATAACATCCAAGGTTTCAGATACACCAATGAAATAATTTGACAATTATTTTAGCCATGGGCAAGAGGCATCTTCATCTATCACTGCAATAATTGGAACTAGGAACTGATGAAAAATTAGTATATGGAAACAGAATTTTCAAGTCTGCTATGGGTTTGAACTTTGAATACAAGAAAATTTCAATAATGTTCACTAAAGTGAAATTTTCTTATTTAACTGACTTGTATACAGAAAAGGGTTGGTCAAAAGACAATGCCATTTTGGTATTTTACCCATACTTTGCTTATTGACGAGCAGAACAATTGTCACTTTCATGTAATCAGTCTGTGACTGACTATTGATGCTTAAGCTCATTATGGGTAAATTAATAAATTATCGAGAACTAGTTCCATCAATGTGAAAAGATTCAAAACATTTTCTTGTCAAAAGGAAAGGGCACAAAGAGGAAAAAAAATTCAAACAAGTTTAATCAGTAGGAGATTGTTCCTAATGGAGGCAAACACAATACATGCTCCATTCAGGTTACCATATATCAGAAATTCGTACTGGACGATGCAAAAATTAAATTCAGGTTGGAATCAGAAAATGGTAACTCTATAAACGATACCTGCACATTAGAAGAAGCAGAAAATCCTCCAGCCATAGCCTGCTGACTAATTCCATGCCCATGTATTTCCCTGTGGCTAGCCTGCTGACTAATTACAAGCCCATGTATTACCCTATGCAATTCTGGTCTCTAGAAAGACATGATATTAATCACTTCAATACAAGAAACTGTTAATCATTAAATCGCTAATTGATAAGGAAACGACCAACAATTTCAAAGCCAAATTGAAGTTCATAGAGACTAAGGTTGTTTCAATTTGAATTACGCTGTCAAGATGTCCTAATAACCCCCAGTTCCTGATAAACTGTTAGCTCATAGATTTCATGAAATGCTAAAAAAAGCCTCACCACCTCCGCCACACACCCGAAAAAATATATAAATAAACAAAGAAAACTAACACATCAATTGAAAAGACTTCAGAAAACAGAATCTAAAAAAAAAAGGGTTCTCCAAGCTTCTCTTTTAACTCGCCACTTGATTATAAGTTGAAATCCACTGCTTTTAACAGCGGACATATATAGGATCACTGTACAAGCAATTATCTCAAAATCAACGCCTCAAAATTCAAAGATCATATGAATTAGAAAGCATATCATACTTTAGAACTGATTTTTAAAGATTTACGGAAGAGCTCATATTTGGTTCCCACAACAACAATTACCCAATATAAGTAAGCTACTGACAGATTCTAATAGGAATAATAAGTACAATAATAACAATGAGAATCAACATGTTCTCAGAGCTTAAAAATTAATGGACAACCTCATCCACTGCTCTTTGGAAAAACTTTGTTGCTTTATCAAAATTACTTTCGCCTCAAAAACATATGGAGGAAAAAAAAAAAAGCATAAGAGGTGTAGGCATTTGCCAGGCACCATAATGTGTCATGCTTCACTGGATTAATCGTCAAAGCCTCCTCCAATTTCAAAATGGCATCGGTCCAATTCATTCCATACACAAAAATAAAGGAGAAAACATTACTCGCTACCACAGGGCTTAATTTGAAAAATATAGGTAGAAAAAGCGTTTATTATCTTCTTTGAATCTGCGACACTTCGGTACTGAGATGATTCTGATAATGCTTCTCCCCATTTAGTCAGATGAATAATACTACACCAATAACCCTCTCTCAAAACCCTAATGTGGCAGCTCGCAATTAGTCAGTTCACAACGGATCTCACATGAGTCCCACTAATTAATTGCGAACTGCCACGTCAGGATTATAAAAGAAAATTGATGAGAGAAGGTTGTTGGTGTAGTATTACTCTTAGTCAGATTCTGCACATTTTTATTAAACAATAATTCATGAAAAATAAAAACATTAATGCAAGAAAAATAACGATGTCTTACTATAACAGAAGTTAAAGAGCCCAAAAATTACTACAAGGTTACGAAAAAAGGGAAAAATATAAATAAAATTCATATTATTAAATTAAGAAAAAGAGACGCCAAACTGATTAGACGACGAAGCAATATTGACTAACTATAATTCAATAATATACCAAAAGAATTGTAGGAAAAAGAAGAAAATACAAACATCGGAAGGTTCCTTGGCGTAGTTAGCTTCAGCGGTCATTCGAGTGCGCTCGAAGAGCAGAATCCGGTCGAAGTCGCTTTGAGAGAATGTTTCAGCCAGGTTTGGCGGGTTTAATTGGTGGTTTGCAGAAACGATCACAAGTTTCTGGAGCCAACTTATTTTTACGGTTAACGTATGTAATATGACGTCGTATGTTAATACTTTTTAAAGGTCCACATTAATGCGTCAAAGGTCTCGGTTTTTTTTTTTTTTTTTTTTTTTTTTTAACTTTGACAATTGGGGCTAAAGCCCAAAAAGATAAAGCTAGGCTAAACATCACGAGGGTTGGCCCAAAGGGCCATGCCATCCCTAATAACAAGATTACAAATAACGGGGGAGAGAGATCACCCATCTAAAACTAATCTTCTAATCTTGAAAATTGATCGAATAAGAGTTAGTAATTATCCCTATTAGTAACTGAAAAAGACTCAACTTAGGTCTTGAATAATATACTAAAAGTCTTTCAAAACACTCAAACTTAGGATAGTTGGAATCAACAAAATAGCTAACTCCAAGAGGCATTGAAAGGCTTAGCTCAGCCATGCCATCCATCCACAACAGCATTGCAATCCCTGTATATGTGTTTCAAAAGGTAGTTTTTATGAATTTGATCAAAGGTCAACCCTTGATTTTATTTGAAAAAGGATTCTCTCCTTATGAAATTTTTCTATAATAAGGTTAATCAAAACATAAATCAAATAATAGTCATTTATTTAAACAAATAAATTAATTTTAAATTAATCAAAAATATTTAGTTCAATCTAGTCTCCATATTCATTTTTCTTTTCTATTATAATTGATTTAAGCTATTACTCTTTAGCATTATAGGAAAATTCTAAATGCATCATTAGAAACTAGATTAAAAGATAACAATTAATAATTGGGGTACTAATGGATGAGTACTAATATGTGTACTAACTAAAGCATAGTACCTGTACTATGCGCATAGTACGGGTACTATGCTTTAGTTAGTACACATATTAGTACTCATCCATTAGTACCCATAGCATCACTCAAAAGATAAATAGTATTCACATTAAGCTTTCGGTTATAAGAATCAGTGAATCACAAGGCAAATGCAACTCTTTTAGATTGACAATTAAAAAACAAACCATTGGAATTTGAATTGTCAAAACACTTCCACATAATGTTATTTGATGAATATAGTACCGTTATTGTTGATAAAAATAAGATGGGGTTGCTTCAAACAGCCCTGAAGTGACTATTTTCAAGCTTTAGTAGCTGTAGTTGGTTATATACTTCAAATAAATGGACTTTTAGGGCAGAACAAAATTCATTCTGAATCTGAGTTTGCGTAATTTCACTTCTAAATAATTTGCTCTGACTGGCATAACAAAACTTCAGAAGGATCAAGATAGTATAAATATATTTGTGCATTTGAGTGGCTGTAATTAGCAAACATTACAGATCATATAACTTGGACACATTTCCTGAAAATGAGTATTGAATCCAAAATACCGGCATCATGGACAAGTGGTCTAAAGAGGAGCAGTTCTGGGGCGTTACTGCAAACAAACTTCTAGACAACAAACATGAGAGCACCGCTTCACAAGGGAACATGATGCATCAACTTTGCCACTTCCAACTTTCAAGAACATCAAGAAGCAGCTGATGCAAGGAATGATCTGATTCGCTGCAACAGCTCCGCCTTCACTGAATCTGGAACAGAAGCTGCATACAGACAAGTAATCCAAGAAATAAATTTGCTGAATGCAGAGGACTTATTTATGTGGCAAGAAAGATTAAACAGCAAAGATTACAAACTTATTCGACAGACATCTGTACATTTGAAGCCATCAATCAGCAAAATATTACATAAACAAGGGGTCATTTTTGGATACAGTCATTTAAATTGCGTCAGGTTGATGGAGAAAGCAACCTGGATATTTGAAGTTACAAAAGACCAAGTACATAACCTAATCCATATATGCAGAGATGCGTAATCTATATCAAAACCTTTTAAGATTGCATAAATCAATAAGAATATAAACAGATCAATAAACCAAATTGGTCTACACATTTCATATCAATTTTAAGACCAAAACACATTATAGATACACCAACTACAAACAAACCTCAAATCCTTGGGTGAACTGTACGGGTTTGGAAATATATAAATACAAATATGAAATGTTAATTGCAGTTGAAGTATTTGCCTAAGTTGGCAAATGTTCTCATCTAGTCAGAAGAGTTAGAGATAAAGGAACATTGCAAAAAGAAAGCCAAAAACTGTAAACATTTTGGGAGAAAAAAGGAAAAGATAAACCTACCTCTGCCCTTTGGAGTAATGACATGTACTAGGTCATCTACTGTAACATTATTCCTTCCTTTCTTCCTTGTATATGCTCTAATACAAAGTAACCAGAAAAAAAAAATGATAGAATCATTATATGAGCAAATAAAAAAGCTATATTTGCAGAATGACACTACAACACGAGAAGCTAATCCAAAGGAAGTTGCACATTCAATACATGGGGAAACATACATCAATAGAGCTTTAGAAATTAGAATCAAGAACCTAGATTGGTAAAGTGTATGTAAAAATAAAACTTCCCCACAAGAAAGAAGCAAAACAAGTTATCTTAATTAGTATGTTCTTGTTTTTTCACATGACAACAAGCTGCAATGTTAGCCCAGTGAACATTTCAAAAAAGGATAACATCATAGGTACTAAAACAGGTTAAGTTTCAGTAAAGTATACATAGGCAGTTCACTTCATTGTACATGCCAACATTAAGTGGCAAATTAAGAAGATAAAAATGATAAACACCACAACAGCCCGAATTTACCAGTCATGTTTTATACAAATATGAGACCATGAATCAGTAAACAAGGATATGACTCGCCCATGATAAAAACTCACATATAATTTGAAGATTTATGATATATAAAGAATCTTCTTTACTAATGTCACTTGCTATAGTTGCAACAAAAATTGATTTAAATATCTCATAAAACAAAACTTATTTAAAAATAAACATAAAAATAAGTAATAACAAAGTCAACAAAAGAAAAAAAACCTGCAAAGAGCTTTCATCTCATCCCTCCAACCGCATTCTATGAGCCTTTCTCTCAAAAGTTCCTTCAATCGTTCTTTTTCCCCACTCTCTATCAGCTATGCTTGTAAACAACGTGATAAATTACTTCAAACATAAGAATTAACACCAAAAAAAAAAAAAATAAATAACACTAAAATTGCTTCCCTAAAGAAAATAAATTTATAGAAAACCTTGATGTTGATGATTTCTTGAAGAGTGGGATCCTGATTTTCACGATCCTTGTCGGCATCTGGTGTTGGAGGACGATTAATAGAAGACCTCCTGTGACATGGAGAAATTGTGTCAAAGTGGANGTCAACAAAAGAAAAAAAACCTGCAAAGAGCTTTCATCTCATCCCTCCAACCGCATTCTATGAGCCTTTCTCTCAAAAGCTCCTTCAATCGTTCTTTTTCCCCACTCTCTATCAGCTATGCTTGTAAACAACGTGATAAATTACTTCAAACATAAGAATTAACACCAAAAAAAAAAAAAAATAAATAACACTAAAATTGCTTCCCTAAAGAAAATAAATTTATAGAAAACCTTGATGTTGATGATTTCTTGAAGAGTGGGATCCTGATTTTCACGATCCTTGTCGGCATCTGGTGTTGGAGGACGATTAATAGAAGACCTCCTGTGACATGGAGAAATTGTGTCAAAGTGGAGATACTTAATCATGTTTAATGGAAGAAATCACGGCTTCTTGATAGTTAATTACAGACTTGTACGACATTTTTGTAATTTCTGCGCAAATTTGCAAGATAAAAGTAGTTGCTGATCGTCTGTAAATCAGGACTCTGGTAATGCTGTACGTTTTTAAGCTCCAAGTAGAAGACAGATTTCCGCTGTGTAACGGCCTTTTACTCACTTATTCAGTCGATCTGTCGATGGTTGAGTCGGTGAAGCCGCGGATAAAATAGGTAAATGGAAATTTGTCATTAGATATTTTTGTCTTTTGATATCAAAAGAAGAAACGACATGCTAGTGTTCTGCCTTGTGAGGTGAACGACATGTCCTCCACAAAATATGGTATATATGAAAAGAACGAGTAATGTTATGTTTACAATTGAATTATACAATCAGACAAAAAATAAAAAATAGAGTTATTATTTTACATAAATTTTATGTAATTTTTATCTGAATTGATGACTCAGTTATAAGCAAATTATTATTAATATAAGATGTGCATTCGCTTCCTAAATCCTAAGTCAAATTATTCACATTACATAATTTGGTTGAAACAAATTTCAAATTATATATATATATAAGGATGTAATCTTTTAATTTAAATTTTTTACTTAAATTGAGACACAATTTTTCAATAGTTTATATTTTATAATCTAATAAATGTGAGAAATATTTTTGTTTTTTAAAACAAGGATACAACAAATTTTATAAAAATGTGTTTGGTAAAAATGAGTATAATTATTTTAACAAATAGTTTTGAAATAAAATCTTAAAAACTAGTATAAAATTAGAAAACTATTAAAAGTTATTTTCATAATTTTATACGGCTTTTAATTTGAAATTAGTTTTAAAAATTTATATCATACACATTTTCAAATATTAAAACATAGCTAAAAAATTTGAATCATATTTTAGTTTTTGAAAATTATTTTTGAATCACATATTAAATAGACCCTTAATAACTAAAAAAAATCTTCAAAATAATGGATATGACAGTGGTGTCAAACTTTGACTGGCGGTCAATGGTGGCACGTTGCAGACACAATCAATATCATCGAGACTAACAACTGCCGATTTACAGAAATCTAATGTTTTAACCAAATTCCAATGCTTATTTAGGCAGCAAAAAACAACCAAAAATTTTGGCCACTTCCTGTGGCCAAAATAAGCTTTGGAATATGGTGGAATCACCAGATTCTTGTGTCTAGGAAGTTTCAAGTCTTGATGGGACTGATTATGGTTTCAAATTGTAATCGTTGATTGGTGGTTTGAACGACATTGACCATTGGTCAATTGTCGTTGATTGACGGTTATTCACTACCAACATTGTTAGTAAGCACTAACCAGATCTATTTCTATAACTTTTTTAATATATAAAAAAATATAAAATTTAAGTTTATTTTGTAATTCGAATAAATATGTATAGGTATATTTGTCAATTTACAATATAAAATTAGCTTAAAAAATATTAAACTTTATTGATTGCAAATCCGTAATATAATCCGTTATCCGCAAAATTCAATGTTAGAACTTCATGTGAATTGGATAGATTGTTTCAAATCCGATCTAACTATACAATCGTTTTTGCCATTAGTTGTGAGAGATTGTTTCTAATATGCACCATTCACACTGCCACACAGATAGTAGAGACGTCACTCGATGAATTTTGTTGCTCCGTAACAGATCCGCCCCATTTTGGCGCGGTAAGCACCTCATGTGTGGCGGGTGAACTATAACAAGACTAAACTACCCCAATAACAGACAAAATGATCATCGGAAATTGCGTTTATATAAAATTTCAATTCCAAGGGTTTAATTGTCCTTCCCGAAAACAAAAATTTCAAGAAATTGTACCAATTTCCCGCCAAAATTCCAAACCCTAAATTTATTTTTCTATAGATGATTGCTCTCACATTTTGCAGACCAAACTCACCAACATCAATGGCAGAAGAAGAAAATATAGCAGAAAAAGAAAACACGGAGACCACCCGTCCCGAGTTCCCCATCGGCCGGATCAAGAAAATTATGAAAATCGACAAAGACATTAACAAAATTACATCGGAGGCCATGTTCCTCGTCTCGTGCTCCACCGAGCTGTTCCTCCGGTTCCTCGCCGACAATTCTGCCAAAGTCGCGGTTGAGAAGAAGCGAAAGACTATAAAACTTGATCACATACGAACCGCCGTTAAAAGGCACCAGCCAACCAGCGATTTCCTTCTCGATTCGCTCCCCCAGCCCGTTCAGTCTGAGGATCGCCCTGCAACCGACCGGACTCGTTCTCGTCCTAATACGGAAAAACCGTTGCCGGTTGGGACTCGCCGGATTGATGATTTCTTTAGCAAACCGGCAGAGGAGGGTCCAGTTCAGATTAACAACGATTAGGGCTTAATTAATTAATTGTAATGGAAGCTTATACATATTTTTCGTTCTAAGCCATTGTAATTTTTTTTTAATAAATTCACAGTTGATGCTTACTTTTAATTAGATTTTTGATGCGAAAGTTTTCATTTACTAAAGGGATCTTTAACCTTCTTTCTGCACGGCATAGTTCCTTTCCCCTTATACAGTGTTTCATTATTGTTCGTGGTTTATTTTGCGATGCTTCTTGTTGAATTCAACTTGTGAATTTTCATTTGTAATTGTAGGAGGCACATAAATCAACTCAAGTGTTGTAGAAGGCACATAAATCAACTCAAGTGTTGTAGAAGGCTTTTGGATTTTGCAGTGGTGCCTTGCTGGTGAACTAGACTGCGATTTCATGGTAAATGTTGTTCAAATAGTTGTTATTAAAGTCGATGCACAACTCAATGTTATCATAAAGAGAGCTTCTTTGTTGTTTTTGTAATTAATTAATTTTTCCAATCCTAAACGCGATTTACTTCATTGCTAGTTGATGAGTAAAGAAATTGTTATTTGCCATAGCTAACTGAAATTGGTTTTGTAGTTGACAATGTTTGTATTCAAGATGTGGCCATCAGTTCAATTGAAAAGTTATGAAATTCAATCTTATAGATTACAAACATGATTTTGGGATCGTAGCTCCAAACATCTATTTACGTGGTACAGCTAACTGTACTCTGTACAACTACAGTGAGAAATCAATGCCTCTAAAACTTTTATTTTCGCTCGCAATCATCATTCTGCGGAGGTTTTAGAAAGATTGCTGATACACAGGGTCAAGACATAAATACACAAGTGTTTAAGACGACAAACTGAATTTATTCTGCTGTATGATGCATTTTTCCAGAAAACAAGATTTATCTGATCACTTTTGCTCGTTATTTCTCATCAGACGTGAAATCCACAAATCTGACTAAATTTCAGGGAGATATAGGGCCAGAAAATGTTGACATCACTGAAGCTGTTTCATCTCTAAACTGATAAGCGAAGCTGGGTCGACCTAACATCTTTTGTCCTCGTACCTTTCTGCCTTCTTTAGTGAAAGATATGCTTTGAGTTTCTGAATTGATGTTGTTTGATCCCAACTGCTGGATGCCCACAGAATGCCTTCTGTTTAAAGGGGTTGCATTGTTAAAGCCTCCATTTATGCTCCGATTTGAAAGGCGCCGATTGCTGGTGCCTGGTCTGGACCCAAAGATATTTTCTTGCTCGACAACTACTTGGCTTTGCACCTTCTTCATATCCTATGGAGGAAAGGTCACCTCATCAGAGAGACGGCATGAGTATCATGGTCATGGTGGATAGAGGAAACTTGATTTTGAAAAGTTATAATATTGAGAAAGAAAGCAAGAGGATATATGAAATTCTTTGACACCGTGTGTCAAATAATACTTACCCTTTGTCGTTGCTTCTCTTCCTCCTTTTCCTGCCTGAACAAATAATACTCTTCCAACATTGCTAGCAGAGGTACCTGGATAATGACATATATTTATTTCCATATATTGATTCTTCAATTAACAAATTCTTAAACTGCACTGAAATTACTGTCATATTGATGTATATATGTAAGCGATATATCGCCTTACCTCATCATACAAGAAAACTTTCTTTCTTTCTTCTTCCCAACTCTTAGTCTTTGCTATAAGTGTATCCACCAAAGCTGGACAAAAACAGTTGGTGAACGTAATGATACATGTAACATATGCATATCATTCGGTAGGTCATAAGGCTACATTAGCTAAATTTAAATTCAAGAAGTCTTTCTGTGATTTTCTATTACAGTTTAATCAACTTAGTTGATTAGATTTTAGCATATGCTTTTGTTAATCTACCAATGCTTTATTAGAACAGGGTGAATATCGCTATATATGATGTTGCTTGATCAAAATTTCAGAAGTTTGAAGAATATAAAGGTCTTTTATGATCTCATTATTTTCTTTTATATTGTTGATCAACTTGGTTAGTTTTTCATATAATTTTCTCTATCGAGTAATTTCTGCATATTTCTACTCTTGCAACTTTAAAAATTCTCCTCTTTTATATGGATAGGTCAATGCAAAGAAACCCTTGAATAATTCCTGATTCCCAAAGCATTGAACATTGATGTTGAGAATCTTTTCTATGTTAACCTGGGATTTTGTTGACAGTTATACGGGCCCTTTCAGCACGTCTGAGATTCCTGTGTGCACCTCTGCTAACTGAATATCGATTTTCATCCTGTAAACATGCATGACATTGGAAACATCAAATAGATGCAGTAAAAGTTTGAGCCAACTGAGCATATAGATGAATGGTAGTGGGATTTTGACCCTGCTGTATTCTTCCAACCAGCGCTCCTCATCACGTGCCAAAATCCACTTCTCCACTTTCTCCATTATAGCCTTCCTGCTAGAGGCTTCTTCTTTTGCTCTGCATATCTGTTCATCCAAACTCATGAGGAGTTCAGCATGATCAATCTCCCCTTGAGTATGTAAATACAAATTGTCGGTCAAATTAGATTTGAACAAGAACAACAATACATATCTTGAGAGGCAATTTATTCACTCTTTCTTACCAGAGTTTATAAGGTTTATTATTTTGTCCATTTCAGTTTGTGAAGGAATCTCCATGTGTGAGTTATTGCATATCTCTTCTAGCTCATTCTGTTTCTTCAGGAAAAGCTCTTTCATCTTGCTTGCTTTCAATTGNCTCCAAACATCTATTTACGTGGTACAGCTAACTGTACTCTGTACAACTACAGTGAGAAATCAATGCCTCTAAAACTTTTATTTTCGCTCGCAATCATCATTCTGCGGAGGTTTTAGAAAGATTGCTGATACACAGGGTCAAGACATAAATACACAAGTGTTTAAGACGACAAACTGAATTTATTCTGCTGTATGATGCATTTTTCCAGAAAACAAGATTTATCTGATCACTTTTGCTCGTTATTTCTCATCAGACGTGAAATCCACAAATCTGACTAAATTTCAGGGAGATATAGGGCCAGAAAATGTTGACATCACTGAAGCTGTTTCATCTCTAAACTGATAAGCGAAGCTGGGTCGACCTAACATCTTTTGTCCTCGTACCTTTCTGCCTTCTTTAGTGAAAGATATGCTTTGAGTTTCTGAATTGATGTTGTTTGATCCCAACTGCTGGATGCCCACAGAATGCCTTCTGTTTAAAGGGGTTGCATTGTTAAAGCCTCCATTTATGCTCCGATTTGAAAGGCGCCGATTGCTGGTGCCTGGTCTGGACCCAAAGATATTTTCTTGCTCGACAACTACTTGGCTTTGCACCTTCTTCATATCCTATGGAGGAAAGGTCACCTCATCAGAGAGACGGCATGAGTATCATGGTCATGGTGGATAGAGGAAACTTGATTTTGAAAAGTTATAATATTGAGAAAGAAAGCAAGAGGATATATGAAATTCTTTGACACCGTGTGTCAAATAATACTTACCCTTTGTCGTTGCTTCTCTTCCTCCTTTTCCTGCCTGAACAAATAATACTCTTCCAACATTGCTAGCAGAGGTACCTGGATAATGACATATATTTATTTCCATATATTGATTCTTCAATTAACAAATTCTTAAACTGCACTGAAATTACTGTCATATTGATGTATATATGTAAGCGATATATCGCCTTACCTCATCATACAAGAAAACTTTCTTTCTTTCTTCTTCCCAACTCTTAGTCTTTGCTATAAGTGTATCCACCAAAGCTGGACAAAAACAGTTGGTGAACGTAATGATACATGTAACATATGCATATCATTCGGTAGGTCATAAGGCTACATTAGCTAAATTTAAATTCAAGAAGTCTTTCTGTGATTTTCTATTACAGTTTAATCAACTTAGTTGATTAGATTTTAGCATATGCTTTTGTTAATCTACCAATGCTTTATTAGAACAGGGTGAATATCGCTATATATGATGTTGCTTGATCAAAATTTCAGAAGTTTGAAGAATATAAAGGTCTTTTATGATCTCATTATTTTCTTTTATATTGTTGATCAACTTGGTTAGTTTTTCATATAATTTTCTCTATCGAGTAATTTCTGCATATTTCTACTCTTGCAACTTTAAAAATTCTCCTCTTTTATATGGATAGGTCAATGCAAAGAAACCCTTGAATAATTCCTGATTCCCAAAGCATTGAACATTGATGTTGAGAATCTTTTCTATGTTAACCTGGGATTTTGTTGACAGTTATACGGGCCCTTTCAGCACGTCTGAGATTCCTGTGTGCACCTCTGCTAACTGAATATCGATTTTCATCCTGTAAACATGCATGACATTGGAAACATCAAATAGATGCAGTAAAAGTTTGAGCCAACTGAGCATATAGATGAATGGTAGTGGGATTTTGACCCTGCTGTATTCTTCCAACCAGCGCTCCTCATCACGTGCCAAAATCCACTTCTCCACCTTCTCCATTATAGCCTTCCTGCTAGAGGCTTCTTCTTTTGCTCTGCATATCTGTTCATCCAAACTCATGAGGAGTTCAGCATGATCAATCTCCCCTTGAGTATGTAAATACAAATTGTCGGTCAAATTAGATTTGAACAAAAACAACAATACATATCTTGAGAGGAAATTTATTCACTCTTTCTTACCAGAGTTTATAAGGTTTATTATTTTGTCCATTTCTGTTTGTGAAGGAATCTCCATGTGTGAGTTATTGCATATCTCTTCTAGCTCATTCTGTTTCTTCAGGAAAAGCTCTTTCATCTTGCTTGCTTTCAACTGATCCAGTCTATTGACTTCAGCCTCAGCCTTGAAACATTTTGAATAGCTATGACGTCTAATTGTTGGAACTAGAAAACAATATGAGTAAATGGTTTTTTCTTATAGTTTGGAATACTTACCTGTTCTATCATGTTATGGGTAAGACTTCCGGAATCTGATACTTCTGCTGATGAGAATGATAGTAGATTGGTAACATGTGAAAATTGTCTGCGGTCTGAATAGGGTGTGTCCATAAGATTCCATAAGTTTGTCAGAGCTTTGCCAAGTTGGTGAAGCTGCGAAATTCAGAACAATTAATATAAGGGATTTCTCATCCTGATGCTTAATCTAACCAGTAAATGCAGGAATAAGATTAGCCCACACAAGCCATTGAATTCGTATTTAATTTCCTCTATGATTTAAATTTACTTCATCTATCTTGTTTCAGCTACTCGTCATTCTTTTACTTTTATGACTTTATAGTGAACAGATCCAGCTGTTTATGTTTTGTGAGTTCATGCCGAATTGCTGGTAATATTTGCTTAAAAGAAGGCTAGCAAAAGACTATTAATAGTTTTTACCTTCTCAAGCCGCTTCTGCTTTTCTTCCTTCAGAGATTCAACTGTACTGTTAAGTTTTTCCAAAATGCTGTCACTTATGTTTTTGGATATTCCATACAATTCGTTCAAGCTGGGATGAACCTTCGTTATAATCATGGAAGACTCCATTCCTAATGTTGCAGACAAATTACGTACTGCATCTATATATTTTTCTACTCTCTGGAGTCTGTCATTCTTTAAAGTCAACAAAAGAGATACAAAATCACAAAACTCATTAACAAGTATTCAGTACAATATCCTAAAACAAGTCATAAAGAATTGTCATAGTACCTTCTCGTTATGGAGTCTATGTAGCTCAATCTGGTATTCCTCGAGTTTCTTCAGAGAAAGATCATTCTCGTTTACTATGATCGTTGATGAGTCATCATATTCTGATAAGCCTGCTATTTCTGCAGAGATTTTCTTTATTTGTGATTGCACAGCTCGAAATTGGTTCACCCTCTCTTCTTTCCTCAGTCTCATCTCCCTCAAAGCTGGGGTGATTGAATCCAGCTGCTCCTTTAATGTTCCTGCCATTTTTTCTGGCTGCACAGACAAGAAAGGAATTTCTTGTTCAAGATGATAGGTTCTCACATGTTGCCACTTAATGGACATGTAACAAATTCCCCACTATGGATCAGAGTTGTAATAGGCACAGCCTTGAGACAAAATTTGATGAATATGTTTATTTGTTCTGGGCTCGTAAACGTTCTTGAATTCTTTTCAATAATAATATGCATTATTCTTTTCCATGGCTGTAGATAGTTAAATGATACTAGAATTCTGAAATGTATCCTAATTATTTCTCATCTTCACTAGTATTCTATTTTACATGCACAATTTAATAGATGTTTGCTAACACCAACAATTTAATAGATGTTTGCTAACACCAGCTAACTGAAAAGAAGAGATTGATGGATATAGTACCCGTCCAGGGAGAGATCGTTCACCAAGGGACAAAAGAAGATGGGTGAATTCAGCTTCAGATTCTGCCAGCTCTTGATGCAAGCGAGCTCTAGATATATTTGCACGGTCAACTTTTCTCCGGTAAACCTCTAAACACTCTTGTTCTAAATCTAGTAGAACCTTCTCTCTTTCAAACTGATCTTCTCCAACTTCATCCCAGATCATCTGCTTAACATAAGAAAAAGGGAACAAGAAGTGAACAATTTCAGTCTTCACTCACCTACAATATGTTGAGGAAAAAAAAAAAAAAAAAAAAATCTTGCCTGCAATTCTTGCAGTAAATATCCGCATGATGTTTCTAGCAATGCAGAGCTTCGCATTGTAATTTGTGACTGGAAGGAAGCCATCTAATGGCTCCTTCAATAATGGGATAGAGCTCAGAGATAAAAAATCTAAAACGGTGGGAGCTTTAAGTGAGAAACTTGGACTACTAGAAGGTGGAAGCCTTAAGGGTTGAGTACATAAACAAGCAACCAAGTATCTTTTAGAGAGAGAGAGAGAGAGAGAGAGAGAGAGAGTGATGGGCTGTAAACTTTGGATGTGAGTGCTCTGGGTACGAGTTTTTGCTTAAAAGACAAGGGTGGGCAGAGGTTGGTGATGCTGAAGCTTTGGGTTCAAGAATCATATGTTATTCAGTTCTATAGGTCACCTGGTTTATGTCATTTCCCTCTCCAACTATTAGATGTTTAAATTGGAAGATTAAAATCTTTTTTCTTTTTTAGATATATAGTTGGAGTTTCGTTTTCAGGGATGTACGACTTATTTTTCATCACGTTGGTGTCTTAGATGAGTATTTAACAGGTTATGTATTGAACAAGGCTTTTAAAGCGACTTCACTCCTAAGCAATCTGCATATGACCCAGAGGCCAAAATAGTTTTTTGCCCTTTTTCACAACTAGAATCTATACAAGTCTAGCTCCGTCATTGATCTACTGCAAAGTGATATTCATAACACCATGGCAATAAGCCAATGCACAAGCACAACCAGAAAATCTGGGCCATCTAATATCATCACCTGGTTTTGTGATTATCATTTATCATGGGATTTTTTTTTTTTTTTTTTTTTTCAGTTATGAAAACCCTTGAACCTTTTGCATTTTTCACATGGGCATTTAACCTTCTGCATAATTTAGCATTATAGTTATGAGTTGGATTTTTCTGATATTCTTGTTGCCTATATAGATGGATGACATGAGAGATATTATATGTTGATCAGAATGAGGTTTGAGTTTCAATTCCATTAGGTATCATAATCATGTGATTTAGGAATGGATAGTGAATCATTTTCAACAAAACAATCCCACCTCATTCACCTTTTTGCTGTTATTGGATAAGAAATAAGTGGTCTCTGTGTCGTAAATCTCTTATCGAAAACCCATTTTAGGTTTGGGAGATAAGAGAATTAGATACCAAGAGTGTCAAGGAAACAATCATGGAATCAAGAATAAAGAACTACAACAAAAGTTCTTTTATGTCTTTTATTTTGCAAAAAGAGGCAAAAAGGAGGGAGAGATCCATAGCTCATGTCATGTTAGTCATGTAGCTAGTGTTCTTTACATTTTGCCACTATACAAATGAGTCCTTTTTTTTTTCCATTTTTTCTTAATGAGTGGAGGTGCTCAACCAACAGTTTTGTGTGTCTCGATTATTCTCTCAGAACCCTAAAACTATCGGCCTGACAAGAGTTTCAATGACCATCCCTATTAAGGGTTGTGAGTACTCAAACTCGGAAAATCATATAAATTTAAATCATACTTTACTCTTTTATCATCAGACTATCCCGTGGTAGTTAATACAAACGAGTCTTATAACTTAAGAATTGGGTTATTCTAGAATGATTTGTTGTGTTCCCTTTCACAATTCAATTATAAAATTGATTTCATGCTTTTGTTTTTCTAGATATAATCGGATTAAAGGGTGCAAATTAAGAGGGAGATACATAAGAGATACTAGAGTAAACGATATGTTCCCACCCAAACATTAGTGAAATACCTAGTTTCCACCCCTAGTTTTATATATGTCATATTCCCACCCTGTTTCATTTCTTTTAACACTCAAAGGCTAAAATAGACATTTATCATAACTTGAAATTAAAATGTCAAATAACCCCCACATCTCCTCACCTTTCTCATAAAAACCCTTATCATCTCCACCCCTCTACACCGCCACAATGTTGCCGCCGCCGCCGTCGGAAATCCCTCCCGAGACCACCATTCAACTCACCGGCCTCCCACCTCCAAAGCCCCCAATATCCCCGTTATCGATTGCTCACCGTTCCCCGGATTCCTCTCTCCCTAGGGTTCGCCATTTTGGTGTATTTTTGGGTTTGATTGGGTTCAATTAGAGGTTGTTTCTAAGGAATTGAAAGGAGATTGTGCTTTTGAAGTTGGCTGGGATTGTTTTCGGAGTGATTTGTGTTGTTTTTCTGGGTTTATGAATCATTTTTGCTGTTGAAAATCGGCGGTTGTGAAGTTGGCTTTCCACCTGTTCGACAGAAAGCCTAAGTCATCTTGCCAGCGCCCTTCCCAGAACCAGCAGCGCGCCCAGCACAGCGTGCACACAGTAGCATTTGCGCGTAGACAGCTCCAGCCAGAGGCCCAGAGCACGCGCAGCCCCCCCATTTTCTATGTTGATGTCGACGCCTCGACGGTCGTTTGTTGGCTAACGACGATGGTGGATTTTATTGATTTTTGTTTTTTCATCCATTTTAATTTCTTTATAAAAAAAAAAAAAGAGTAGATAAAGAAAAAACGAAGGCTGGATGTTGATAGCGGCTGGGTGGCGGTGGTGGCAGTGGCTAGATGGTGATGGCAGTGGCCAAGGGCTAACCCACATGGGGTCACGTGCGGTGAAGTGACACCACTTGGGTTTTATTTTTTTATTTTCAATTTTGTCCAATAAAAAAACTAAATTACAAAATTACAGTAAATTAAATCAATTAAAAATATTGACTTTATGTAATAATATTTTTTCCCTTTTTTTTTTTCAATCCCAACTTTTTCTTTTGCCCAGCGTGGCCTATTTCATCCGTCTAATCTCTACTTTTCCCTAATAATATATTAAAATTTATATAATTATTTAATTTTGTTTTAGTCTATTTACGATGGAAGATTTATTTAGTTTTACAAATGAACTTTTTTAAGGACCACAAAGAAAAGATCAAAATATTGTAAATACTATGAATATGGTTGAAGCATATAAATAAGCTTTACAATTGATAAGGGATAGTAGATGAGAGAATTTACCTAGCAAATTTTATTTTTTTTGTGCCGAACATGACATTGATATTCCAAATATGGATGATAAATTTTTTATTAAAGGGTGATCACAACGGAAGACTAAAGGTATCATAAACGTGCATCATTACCATATTGAAGTATTGTACAATATTCTAGATATGCACCTTCAAGAGTTGAATAATCGTTTTAATGAGGTAAACATTGAATTACTTATTTGTTTGGTTAACATTGAATTACTTATTTGTTTGACATACTTATGTCCAAATGAAAATTTTGTTGCTTTTAATAAGCAAAAACTGACGCGCCTTGCTGAACGTTATCCAAAAGGTAGTTGGAGATGGGATGTGTGAAGAGGTTGAAGAAGAGGGTGTTATTGAAATAAACTTTAAAGTAAGATAGTTATTTTGTAATTCTACTAATTTGAGGTTTAAAAAATAATATAATAATTTATTTGTCAGCATCTCAAATGGTGTTCTTTATTTTAAAGAGCATATTTCATATAAATAAATAGCATCTTTATTTATTTTTAAATATACAAAACAAATTTTTTATTCAAATCCAATAGATTCTTTAAATTTTAGGAGAATGAATATGTTTTTTCAAGAAAGAAACTTAATATGAGAGATAAATCATAAATAAAATGTATAGAAACTTACAATTTATTATTTAAAATTAGGATAGAAAGTAAAATTTGACTCTTTCAATGTGGAGGGTCAAACTTACTCTTTAATTTATATTTAAATAATAAAGAGTCTATTGGACTCTTGTTTCTATGGATAAACTCTTTATAATAAAAAGTTTATGTCATATAAAGAGTCATTTGAAGATGCTCTAAATGTGGAGAATCAAACTCACTTTTTAATTTATATTTAAAAAATAAAAAGTCTATTAGACTCTTGTTTCTATTGATAAACTTTTTATAATAAAGAGTTTAGGTCATATAAATAGTCTTTTAAAGATACTCTAATATAACAATGATATTCTCTATATTTTTATATAATCTAAAAGTTACTAACGTGTTGTTTTAGAGGTGAGAATCTAAAATCATTAATGTATTACTTTAAAGATGAGAATCTAAAATTTATGTAAAAACTTTCTGTTTAACTAAACCTTGGGTGGAGACATGTCGTTTGCTCGAGATGCTAATATCATTTGTTAGTGAACTTTTAATGAACAACTTAATCATATTTATAACATTGAAAAAGTTGCTGCCATGATGGTCTAATAATCAACGGCAGATATAAGAAACGTTTATGTCCTTCTATGTTGGGTTCAAAATGGGTCGAACTTGTTGTTGAGCCCTCGTACGTGTCAAAGCCAACAGCCCAAAGTGGCATTAGCATGATGTCAACTACTAAGTATTAGTCCTAATCGAACCGAATAGTGAATCCCACGCTGCTCACCTAGTAGCAACAATAAGCTTTTATGACTGGTCTATGGTGCGTGTGATGTTAGAATTATTTATAATTCTTATAAAGTGAATTATGTGAATTAAATATAATATAAGATTTAGTAATAATTATATTAAATGAAGGGTATATTAGTCTCTAACCTTTGATGAAAATGTTACATTAGTTAATAAAATAACTGATGTTTACAGTTAATTAAATAACTGTGATATAAAAGGTGGGTCCTCTCTCTATTCCCTATATACGCTAAAATTTTTCTCTGTCCATCGAGAGAGTTTGCGATTACAGAAGGGAAGAAAGGGAGAGAAACGCTGTCTATTTTGATTCAATCAAGATTCAAGTTTTAATTTTCAAACTATAGAATCATGTATATATTTCTTTTATATATATGTGAAAATTCATCAAGTTTCAAGATCCTATAATTTTATATTTGTGCAACTTAGGGCATAGAAACATGAATTGATTATTGATTATTTGCTTTTGATGAGTTTGCTTTTAAGTTTACAAGTGGTATCAGAGCAATTTCAGGTTTAGAGACTGATAAATTTTCTATTAAGTTATTTTTAGGGTTCTTATGGGATGTTGAAATTAATTGGGTTTTGGAAATTGTGAAATAGGAATGGTTTGGGTAAAATAGATTTAAGAAAGTAGTTTGGGTTTAGAAATTAACAACTTGGAAGGTTGTGGTAGATTTTTTTTTTCTTATTCTGAAATACAAATTTTCAGAATCCAGAAGTTTTTTTCAATAAAAAAATTTCAGAAATTTGAAATATGAAGTTTACCTAATTTTTTAGAAATTCGGGTCAATAATTGAACCATAAAATATTGACCAAACCCAATGATTAAAGCCTTATTAAGTGAGCTAAATTTTCAAATCCATTAAGAATAAC